GCCACCGAGCCCCGGGCAGGGCTGCGGTAAACAGCCATATCCCCGCCATGTGAGCTCGGGCAGTTGTTCTCTCGCAAACTCCCACGTCCTCTCCCGTATTCCGCGTTTTTCCACCCTTTTTCCTTTGCGATTTAAAATGGGGAAACCATCCCTACCACATGTGCCCCGGTGAGCACGGCGGGTGGCACCGCCGCTCTCGCCCGTTCGTTTTCCCCAGAAGCGGCCGGAGGATAGGCGAGGTGCCGGCCCTCGCCCCACTGTCCCGGGATGGTTCCCACCTCTCCGGGCCGGTCGGGAGCGCCGAACGACTCGGCGGGAGGAGGCGGTGGTGGCCCCGGGGCGCGTCTACCCCGGTCGGCGGGACGGAGCGGGCAAGGCCGGCTGCCCGCCTGGGCACCCCTGCGTGCCATGCTGCCGGCCGCATTATTCTTCCAGGAGCCTTGTAGGTTTCAGTATATTCATTCTCGTACAATGGGATTAAACACTAACCGTTATCATCCAAATTAACTAAATTCTGAATAGCAAATGAGGGGGCTTTTATTTTTTTTCCTCCTCTTTTTGCTGCACTGGCGGAGATGGAGTTGATCCTCTTACTGTCTGTGTTAACCGCCAGCTGCAGGCACCTGCAAGGCAACTTCTTACACGAGGGAAGTTGTTTATTTGCTCGCTGGCTGTTCCCCTCGTTGGTTCCCCCGCGGGCCGGGTTGCCCGGGTCAGCGGCGGGGGGCGCGGGGTGGCCGTGGCATCCCCGTGTGTACCGAGGCCTCGTCCTCCGAGGGCTTCGGCGGAGCTGAGGCCAGAAAGAGATCACCCGACATTGCTGCTGTCGGACTGCCACCCTTGTAGGGAAGCCAGGAGAAGAGAATACTCAGCTTTGAGTATTTTTTATTTTTTAGTTTCCCTCGAGCGACTGTTGGCTCTCCTTGCGGGACACGCGTGCACGGCTCTTTGGCAACCCACGGCGGACACCCGCGTCCCCATCACTCTCCAGCGGTTGTCGCCCGTCGCCCAGGAGCCCCGCGGGCCGCAGCCCTCTCCCCAGGCAAGGGGCTGGCCGGCGGCCGGGGCGCAAAGCCCTGCCCGCTACACGCGGAGCGGGAGAGGAGCTCGCCCTCGCTCCGGAGGCTGCAGGAGGATGGGCGGCAGGGCCAGCACTGCCTGCCTCGCCCTGCAGCTCTCTCCCCCTCCCCGCGGCCGGCCCGGGGGTCCCCGCCTGGCGGGGTTGCGCCCCGAGGGAGCGGCCCGGCTCAGTCCCCCGGTTCGCTGCCGAGGGGCGCAAGGGTGCCGCGTCTCAGTGGCGTGTGGCCCCTGTGCCGTGGGCACTGGCGCTGCCGACATGTGCCAGACATGGGCTCTGACAGGGAGGTGGAGATCCTCTGGAAGTCGTCAAGCTGCTTTGAATTGGCATCTAGGTTTGCCTTTTTGTGGAAACAGATCGTCTTCCCTCTGTTTCTTCACCCTCTCTTTTCTTTTTTGATTCCTATGTAATGTTGAGGTTACCTGCAATTACTTCACCAAGTAATCAAAACTGGACATTAGGTTTGGCAATAATTGTTGCTGTGTGCAAGCAAGAAATCAGATAACTAGTCTCCCATGGAAAGAGCTGTCCATGCAACTGGTGAATCAAGTGCAAAGTCCTTGTTTGGCTAGGGCTGGGGTTGGCCCTGCCAGCATGGTTCAGCCCCATACTGGAGATCCTGCTGTGTAATGTGGAGAGGCATTCACACTTCTGGGTGATCTCATGGCTGCTAGGGAATGGGAGAACACACAACGTGCAAAAGGTCCTGCTTACAGAAGTGATACCTTCATTACTTGGCAATCCTGCATCTGGAAAGAAGCTGTGAACTCCACTGAAGAGAAAGCATTTTGTTTAGGGGCTTAACCCTCAGCTGTATATAGTTCATCTCGTGGTGCCAGCTTTTGCTGTGAGTTAGTTTACTCTTGCACTCTGAGCGAGGCTAGGCTAGGTTAGCAAGTTTCCAGTCTTTTCATAGCTCCTAATGCACTCTGCCTCTGTGCATGCTTGGTCCATGTCCTGCTCCTCAGGTGCAGAGATATTCCTTACCTCAATGATACTGTTTGTTCCAGCTGTACTCCACGTCTGTGTCTTCCTTCCTAATGGAAGGACCACGCTCCTCTGTTTGCTCACCTGCCATGAATAATGGCGTCAGCAGGGGGGAGGTGATAACATGACAGGTCTTGGGACTCCATGTCAATATGGTCCTTCACAGAAGAAGCCATTCTTATGAGTCTCTTGTATTGTTGGGTAGATTCAGAGGGCTCTCCTCAAAATCCTAGAGTGCTCTAAGAGGTGCTGTTTGTGCTGCAGGAGATGATGTTCTTCTCATTCTGTGAGATATGGTAATAAGCCCATAAGCCAAACTTTAATCCTAGAAACTCTAAAACTTTGATCTTTGTCACAGAAAGTAGTCAAGTATCTCTGTGATGGAAGACAGGGCTTCCAGGTCAGTAGTGCTCCTGAGTGCTGCTATGTGATTGTCAAATTCCATGTCTGAGGAGGCACAGCTCACTGCAAGTATGTTTTGTGGTGTAATTTCAATATAACATACTCTGTTCTTCATGATTAAGAGCTTTTCAGGAATGTAAACTCTGATATGGATTACTTTTAGGTTACTCTTTGTGCAAACTTTTTTGAGTACAGATTGCTTGAAAGTAATTTTCATACATTCCTGTCCTTTGTAATATCTCCTTTGTTGACTTTTTTCCCACATACAAGATTTTAAGCTTATGTCTAGATTTATATGTAGTACAGCTAATGTATTCAGAATTACATTGGGTAAAATGTTTCACTGATTAAAATCAGGTGTAGTTATATATGTTATAGCCATTTACAGGGGCTGATTTACATCAACAGAAGACCTGATAGAGCTTTTGTCCATCAAATGTGTGTACATGGCAAAACTTAAGACTGTTCACTGCGTGTTTGTACAAGGTGAGTCCCCCCAAGACAGTGGATAGATGTTTGCAGTTTTCCCAATGACAGCTATCTTCTCAGCCACCTCACTATTGAGACAGAATATGTTGCTCTTTAAATGACAGCCTGTCAGAATGAGAACAGAGTGCTAAAATTAATTTCAGTGGGATTTAGGTAATCATGAATCAGTGGGGAGGTGTACATTAAATTGCTTGTGACCAAGGTGTTCTAAATAGCTAAATAGCTAGATTAGTGACTGGCACAAATAAAGGCAGAAAATACAAGGACTTTTTCTGCAATGACATGTCAAATGCTGAAAAATGTCTAGCCCCTCCTCTCCAGTCTTAGTAAAAACTAAAACCAAACAAGTGTAAAAACTTTTGCTCTGGCTTTACAGAGGTGAAGTTATACTTAATCCACCCAATAATCTTCTGTGATGAAGTGACTGGCTTGGTGGATAAGGAAAGAGCAGTGGATACTCTGAAGAAGAGAAGGCTTCAGGGTGACCTTATTACAGCTTTTCTGTACCAGAAAAGAACCTAACAGGAAAATGGAGAGGGACTTTTTACAGGGGGACATAGTGACAGTACATGGGGTAGAGGCTTTAAACTGAAAATAAAGTAGGTTTACATTAGTTATTTGAAAGAAATTCTTTACTGTGACAGTGGCACTGGAACAGGCTGCTCAGAGAATTTGTGGATGCCTCATCCCTGGAAGTGTTGAAGGCCGGATTGGATGAGGCTCTGAGCAACTTGGTGTAGTGGAAGGTGTCCCTGACCACAGCAGGAGGGTTAGAACAAGGTGATCATCTTTAAGATCCCCAAGCTATTCTATGATTCTGTGGTCTGCTTGGCTTTTGATATTGTCTCCTGTAACATCCTTGAAGAGAAGCCCATGATGTGCAGGCTGGATGAGCAGAACTTAAACTGGCTGAATTGCCCAGTTCAGAGAGGGATGATCCGTGGCACAAAATCTAGTGTCTAGAACTCCTGGTGTACCCTGGGGTTCAGAATTTGGTCTAGGCATGTTTAACATCCTCATTAATGATCTGGAACATACCCTCAGCAAGTTCACAGATGACACAAAACTGTGAGGAGCAGCTGATACACCAGAGAATCATTCCGTCATCCAGAAGGGTCTCAACAGGCTGATGAAATGGGCTGTGAGGAATGACATGAAATTCAGCAAAGGGAAACCAAAGTCCTGCACCTGGGAAGAAACAACCCCCTGCGCCAGTACCTGCTGGAGGGCTGATTGACTGGAAAGCAGATCTGTGGAGGGAGGCCTGGGGGTCCTTGTGGACATCAAGTTGAACATGAGCCAGTTGTGTGCCCCAAGAAGGCCAGTGGTGTCCTGGGGGGCATTAGGAGGATTATTGCCAGCAAGGTGTGGGAGGTGACCCTGCCCCTTGACTCAGCACTGGGGGAGTCCACATCTGGAGTTCTGGATCCAATTCTGGGCTCTTTAGTACAAGAGAGAGATGGCCACACTGAAGGGGCTCCAGGAAAGGGCCATGAGGATGATAAGGGGATTGGAGCACCTCATGTAGGAGGAGAGGCTGAAGGAGCTGACAGTGCTCAGCATAAGGAAGAAAAGGCTCAGGAAAAGTTTACCACTGTGTTCAAATACCTGAAAGAAAGCTGTAAAGAAGTTGGAGCCAGACTGTTTTCAGTGGTTCTTAATCATGGGAGCAGAGGCAATATGCACAAACAGAAACACAGGAGTTTCTGTCTGTAATAGAAAACAACTCTTCTGCTGTGAGGATGGTTAATCACTGACACAAGTTACCCACAGAGATTGTGGGTTCTGGATGTGATCTTGGGCAACTGCCTCTAGGTGTCCGTGCTTGAGCAGGGAGACTGGACCAGATGACCTCCAGAGATGTCTGCCAACCTCAACCAAGTTCTGTGCACTTCCTGTGTGAACATTTAGTTTCGGTGTAATTCAGCCCCACTTTGGTTTGGCATAGAAGAAATGTATTTTTTCTTACTCTACACAGCAGCTTGAGCTCTTTCACTCTGTTCTCAACAGGACAATTAATTTAGATTCAGGGTTTCTACACCTGTGTCAAGCAGAATAAATGGGAGGGAAGCACAGTCTTTCTGTTAATTGTACTTCACGACGTGTTGTATTGCAACTTGGCCCATTAAAGACTCATTAACATCCACTATACTTATGACTGCTTTGTAAACAATGCTAATTCAATAGGACTTCAGAGCTTAATTCCCTCTAGAGTCCTTTGTAACTCCTAGCCATTACTTTCTTTCTAGCTGAAGTGGAAAAGGGGACCCCTGTGAGAGATTTATGGACTCTGCAAAGCCTATTAATTTAGTAATGCCATAGTTCAAGCATCTTATTATTATGAACCCTCAGTACTGAGCTTATTGAGTGGACTGGGGACTTATAGGACTTTTCAGCAAAGCAGTATTCTTTGGTTCAGCCCAGCTTTGCTCGGATTCCCCAGAGATTGAGTGG